TATTGGTCTATAATTTTCTGTTTTAGTGAATTATTTTACCTAGTTTTGAGTAAAGTGCTATGTTCGCTTATAAAATGATTTCAAGAGTTTCCCATCCTTTTCTATGTTCTTGAATAATTTGTGTAGAATTGTTGTCAAATCTTCTATGAATTGTAGAATTCATAAGTAAAGTATCTGGACCCAGACTTTTTTTTTTAATTGGGAGTTTTAAAATGACTTAATTAATTTCTTCTTTTGTTATAAATCTATTCAATTTTATTACTTAAGTCTGTATTAGTTTAAGTAGTTTGTGTGTTTCAGAGAATTTGTCCATTACTTCTAGATTTCCAAATTTGTTGGAGTACAGTTCTGTTATCATTCTTTTTGTTTACGCTGGTTCTGTTGTGATGTCACCCATATAATTTCTTATTTGTGCCATTTGCATTTTATCTTTTCTTAGATTTGCCAATGGTTTGTTCATTTTATTAATCCTTTCAAAGAACCAACTTTGCTTTTCTGTTTCTGTTTCACTAATTTCTGCGCTATTATTTCTTAAGTTCTGGTGGCTGTAGGTTTGCTTTGATGCTCTTTTTCTAATCATTGGAGATGGTGGGTTAAGGTGTTAATTTTTTTTTTTTTCTTTTTTGGATGTGTATGTTTATGGCTATAAATTGTCCTTAAGCACGGCTTTTTCTGTGTCTCAAAGATTTAATGTGTTATGATTTAAATCTCATTTTTTAATTTAATTTTTTCTTTTACCCAGTAGCTTTTAAGCAGTGTGGTATCTAGTTTCTACTTACTTTAATTTTTTCCTTGATCTTCCTATTTTTTATTTCTATTTTTATAGCATTGTGATCTGAGAAGATGCTTTGTTGTAGTTCGAGGTTTTTAAGTTTATTAAGGCTTGCTTTGTGGCCTAAAATATGTTCTATTCTGGAGAATGTTTCATGTCCACTGGAAAAGAATATGTATTGTGTTCTTGAGTTTAAGTCTGTTTTTATTGTATTGTGTTCTTGAGTTTAAATTCTGTTTAAGTCAATGAGATGAAGTTAGGTGATTGTGTTGTTTAGCTCTTCTGCATCTTTGTTGAGTTTCTTTCTAGTTGCCCTATCCTTCATTGAAAATGATTGGTAAAATCTCCTACAATTATATGTGAGCCCTCATGACATAGTAGGCTACATGTTTGGCTGTTAACCATAGTATCGACAGTTAGAATCCACCAGTCACTCTGTGGGATAAAGATGAGGCTTTGTGCTTCTGTAGAGATTTATAGCCTTGGAAACCCTATACAGGGCCATTATGGGTAGGAACCAGCTGGACAGCACAGTGCAACAACCACCACAATTATTGTAGAGTTGTCTATTTCTTTCTTCAACTCTATTAGAGTTTGACTGATGTAATTTGATAATCTTTCTTTGGGAGAATGGCTATTTATTATGGTTATGTCTTCTTGTTCCATTGACCCTTTAATCATGATATACTATCCTTCTTTGTGTCTTATGCCGTTTTTCATTAATTTTTTTCCCTTGAACAAATAGAAATTTGTTTTCCAAGACTTTAGGAGGATAGAAGTTTGAATTCAGAGAACCAGTTTTTTGGAGAAAGGTCCTTGTTTCCTTTTAGTATCAATAGGCATAGCATTCATTGGAGTTCTCCTATTGTCTTGTCATCAGTTTTTCTCTAGGAACTTAAGTCTAGGTTTGGGATTTCAGGTCAGAAGGACATACGCTACCACCAGCTCTTCTTTCTTGGTGGCCAAGGATCTCTGTCTTATGCTGGTTTTTGCACGAAAGTCTGTCTTATCAGAAATTAATATTGTGATTCCAGCTTGTTTTGATTGTCATTTACTTGATATTTTTCTTCCATTCTTTGATTTTTAGTCTAATTTTGTCTTTGTGTGTAAGGTATGTCACTTGTAGATAGCACATTGAAGGATCCTGTTACCTTATCCCTTCTACTAGAGTCTGTCTCTTAAGGGGTACATTTAATCCTTTTATATTCAATGCCTTTATCAGTAGATATTAATTGAGGACTCATTTTTCTGTGTGAGTGCTTTTTAATTTTGTATGTGGCACGGCTGGTTTCTTTGCTGCACATAATTTTCTGTGCTGATTTCATTTTGCTTGTGGGTTTTCTTATACTTTTCTGTATTGCTTTTTCACAAATGTTTACTAATTTTCACAAATGTGCAATTAAGATATATTGCTAATAACTGGTGATTGGAATTTGAAGTTTGAAAACAAAGAAGAAGAATCTAATTGGAAAATATGGCCTTGATAGAAATGATGGTGAAGATCGTATGATAGAATTTTATAAGACCAATGACTTTTTCATTGCAAATACCTTTTTTTGGGTATTTGGACCTCACAACCACCACCACTTGTACTTTGGGAGTCCTGGTAGCTGCAAGGTCAGTAGTTTGTACGAACCAGTTGCTCCGTGGGGGAAAGATGAGACTTTCTGGTTCCTTAAAGATTTAAAGCTTTGGAAGTTTTATACAGAATTGATGACGCACAATTCCCCCCCACCCACACCCCTGCCACTTGTACTTTAGGAGCTCTGCTGGTATAGTGGGTTACGAGTGGAGCTGCTAACTGCAAGATTTGCAGTTTGAATCTACCATCCACTCTGTGGGAGAAAGAGGAGGCTTTTCTGCTCCTGTAAAAATTTGCAGCCTTTGAAACCCTATTTTTTTGGAGAAAGGGTCTCTCTGAGCCAGAACCAACTCCATAGTACATAACCACCACCACTTGTACTTTATGCTTCAGGGTACTCAAGTGATTCCAGTCATTTGAATACTTCTGGCTTTCCTCCAGGCCTTAAAGAAGAGTGCCTCTTATGCTTGGCACTCATTTTCTTCTTCCCCACTTCTCAGGACTGTGTTCTGTCTGCTTCCCATAGGTTTCCTTACAGCTTCCCCATCTTCTATCATAGCTTCTATCAGAATATGTTAATATTTTTCATCTTCTTTCTTAATAGTCTATAGGGCTCGGTGGGACAGAGATTTTTAACCATGTAACCATAAAGGAAAGGATCTTTAGGTATAAGCTAGACACTTAATAGTATTAACTATTTATTGTTGATATAAATGTTAATAATTCCCCACTTTTAGTGTGAGACTATTTAGGAAGTTAGTGTAAATATTTCAAATGCTAGTTGGGGCATTAATGATAACAGTTACTCACCAATGACTTAAAGCATTTATTATTTGGCAGTGTAGCAAATATTAATTCTTTTGTGGTAACCTTTTGGAATAATCATGTTTTAGCTCCTACAAGTGCTGGGAAGACTCTTGTTGCTGAATTACTTATTTTGAAACGGGTGTTGGAAATGCGGAAGAAAGCTTTATTTATTCTGCCCTTTGTCTCTGTGGCTAAGGAGAAGAAATACTATCTCCAGGTAATGTCCTCATACTAAATTTGATATAGTAAAAGGCCTACTACTGAAACCTAGGCTTTCCTCATTCTAATAGAATTATAAAGGCAAGTAAAAAAGAATTTCTTCTATCACTAGTCAACATAGCTTTAAAAGTTGACCATTTATGAAGGAAATTCTTTTTATTATTGTATTGTTGTATGTATTGTGTGTAGGATAGAGGGCCATAAAGTTAACAGGGTAATTAATGAAAATTGGGTAAAAGCTTTTAAACTTTGCCTTAGAAAGTAAACAGAATACTTCTATTAGTATATAATTGTGCAAATTAAGAATCACCATTTTAGCTAAATAGTAGCACTAAACTGAAGCATGGAGAAGAAAGAGTTCTTAAGGAAGTCTATCTCATCTTAATTGAAGTTCTTTTGGAAACATTTAGGGGATAAAGAACAGGACCTATTTGGAGCACAGAGAAAGCTCTAAGCCTGTGATGTGTTCCTACATTCAAAAAATGACTAGTAGTAAGAATTTACCTTTAAATTGTCCTCATTTGTTTCTAAGGCATTCTCACAAATACAGTGTTTCATTAAACAGAATAAGTATACTGCTTGGTTTCTGAAGTGGAAAAATGTACGTTGGAATGGAAAGATCATTGATATAGGAATTCAAGAAATTTGGGTTGTAGTTCCAGTTTTGATTCTATGTCTTCAGGACATCCTGTTTTAATATTTGTGAGGGTGTTAATCATAGCACTTTGTGTTAACTCAGTAAACACTCAGAAAAATTTTACTAAGTGAGTAACTATAAAGCTGTATGGATTTAGAAGTCTTATGAACAGCTATTTCAGAGGCTAGGCAGTTAACAAAGCTGGTCCTATGTGGTTAACATCCTCTCAGTTTAGATCCAAAGTAACAAAATGGTGAAAGGATCCTTTTGATTAGGAAGGTATACTAAAAGTTGCGCTTAAAAACTTTAACATCATAGTTCTACTGCATTTGACTTTTTAAAGCAGGGGCGGGGAACTTTTTTCTGTGAAAACTTATTAACATTATTCACAGGCCATACAAAATCATCAACTTAAAAATTAGTCTGGGAGTTCCAGTATGGCAGGACAGCCAGGGAAGTAAGGTAGGGACGGGCTCCAGTGAAAAACGAGTGGGATCTCACGAAGGAAACGTTCATATACCAGTCCCATGGCTTTTAAACTATCATAAAGTCTCCTGAACTCACATTTTTGAGAAATCGTGCTACTAAGGATAAAAGAAAGGCGCGTAATTTGGGACTCTTGGGTCGCTCATGCGACTGCAGAGTTTAGAGGGCAGGGCCAGGGCCAGAACGTTCGGAAA